ACCTCACCCATACTGCCAGGTCAACAATTGCTTTTAACCATTCATTTGCATGATTTCAAAACAAAAGCAAGGTTTTTTTGGGCTACTGTATAAAGCCTTGAATTTAACGCTATTCCTGACATTTTTAATTGAAAAAGCTTCCTGGATGGGAAGCGAAATGTCTTCAAACTTGGAAACAAAGTTCAGTAGATTGTTTTTAATTTTCTCTTTTTTTTTTGAAACATTGAGAAAATTGCATCACAAAGATTGCTTAGATCCAGAGTTTGGGAACTCATAGTTTATTCATTGCTTGAACTTAAAGCTCTACATGCTGATGAAATAGTGGGCACCTAGCTTAACCTTTTTTTATTTATAGATCATCTAACCAGTTAGAGCGGAAAGCTAAAGGAAAAGTGATGAAGAGATTGTGTCAATGGAAAAATAAGACTGCAGTTGATGAAGTCGTTGCATTTCAGTGTTATTGTGATAATGGCGCGCATCTGTACAACAGTGCTCATCTATCTGCCTCGCAACCTCTGCTGGAATCTGCAGGTAATGCTTGTTCACTGCTCTTTCTGTTTTGGCCCTCAGGTTGCTTAGCTACAATTTGTTGCCACTTTATAATAACAAGTCTGCTGTAAACTGTGTTGCTCTTGGGTGTAATAAAGAAGTTTTTCAGATTTAAAGCTAACGTTAAGATGTGGGGCTCAGATCCCCACCCGCTCCTTCTACCTCACCTGGTTGTTCAGTTTCCGATTCATGCACGACGGAGTTTGTTTTGGGACGCGGTCATAAATCTTTCAGATTGCCTCGACATCCTTCACAGTATTGTTTATTCAGATGCTGCTAGTCTCTCCGTGGCTTGACCTAGATGGGAGGCGACCCGCAAGATGTGTCATGTCATTAGTGAGTGAGGAGAGAGTTTGCTGAAAGGCCCACGCTCAGCTAGTTCCTCACTCTTCTGCAGCTCTTCATCCTTTGCTTTATCGCGCTTTTCTGTTTGCTTAGAATGTTTGGAGTTTATTAGATTAGACTTTAGAAGTTGTACATTAAGGATCTTCTAGAGAAGGAAGGATGCTTCAAAAATCTGATTTCAGTGTCCTGATAGTTTAGTCAAAACACTGTCGCTCCTCTTTGGCCTCGTAATGTAACCAAGCAACAAATCTTGGTTAAATGACAACTTTTACATAAGAAAATCTGACTAGAGAGTTAGGCCTCTCTCATCTTAAATAAAGATGTTTTTATCAAGTGCTTTTATATAATTAGACTACAAATGTATGGAAACAACAGGTTTTATTCTGTTTTTTTTTTTGTTAAATAAAAACAAATCCAATATGCTGGGATTTTTAAAGGACACTCTGGCTGCTTTGATTGACTAATGCTACATTCAGAGCGCAAGCGCTGGAAGCAGCAAAAAAGCTTCTGCTGCTTTATTTTTGATGCTTGTCCACGTTAAGGTCAGACGTCCAGTAAAGTGTTTCCAGATGCATCTGCTGCTCCTCTGTTCAATGGCAGAGGTTTTATTTTGCCGCATATTAACACTCAGACATGGTGGTGGCAGGATGATGATAAGGGCAGTGTTTGACTTGAACTCATTGTATACAAAAGTCAACTAGAGACAAATGTATGACGGTTTGTCTTCTCCCTAAACCAGGGGGAACCAATTAAAAGCCAGCGGGGTCCGAATAAAGAAAATCATCAACCAGTAAAGATCGGGAGACATTTTTAATTATAATGTTACTTTAAACAGAATTTAACACTGAACTAAAAGGAGGTTTTATGCATCCATGTTATACATTGAATTTTTAAATGAAAGATAAATGTTTTTCCATTTTAAAATCTAAATTGAACAACATCTTTCAGTTTCATATATAGAACCGTGGTCCACTAATCTGTGACCTCTGCCCTAAACTTTGACCTTTTGCTTCAAATTTGTTCATTTAATATTAACAATGATGCATTTTTTGGTTGATTTTTCTATTCATAATTTTATCATCTGGTTGGTTTCATATTTATGATTTTTATTCAATCAAGATCTTTGTGAAATTTTTGCTTCTAAAAAAAGACTCCGTTTTTAAAGCAAGTTTCTGTTCATCTTGTGCTTCTTCTCCAGATCAGAGCACCTGTATGTATTCTTCATGCAGTGGAGTCCAGACATGTACGGAGAGGGCATCAGGGGGATGGGCCAAGAACCCGGGTTCATGGTGGTCAAAAAGCACGTTGCATCAGAAACGCCCGTCGATGAGCCCATCACTGACCTTAATGTGAAGGAATGGGAGGTAAGGTCACAGCAGGGGGGTTTCCTCACCTGGAGAGAAGTTGCATCTTTGGTGTTGTATCAAATCATCACAGATATGGATTAACTTTTCAGTTCTTTACTAGTTTAATCCATACCCTGTGAAACACAAGCCTTATATTTTATATTCCTTTTGTATGCTAAGGTCAGTGTTAAATAATTGATTTGCTGTCATTACACGGTGCTAACTGTCAATGTATTGTGTTTTAACACCATCTGAATTTCGTAGCCTGTTTTGTATCCTACTTCTGTATTTTTGCACCGTTTTTGTTCCACTGTATAATTTCTTTTTAGTTGTAGTAAATCTATGTCAACTTTCTATCACATTGCAACTTATGTTAGATGTCTCACACTTGCTTTGCTTGGAAATGCGCTTCTCTGAACTTCCAACCAAAGTGTTTTGCATGTTTGTGTAATTTGTTTTTTTAACTCCTCTGAGTCACTGTATGGTATTTCCATCACATGTCCTGTGATTGTCTCGCGTGTCGGTCAGTGTTTGTCTAGTTCAGTCGCTGAATGGCAATTAACCAACACCACTGTGAGTTACTTTGAAATACTCTCTTGAAGTAAAAGTGACACTGATATGGGTTCTTCCTGCTTTCGATATAGAGACAGTATATGAAATGACGTGATTGCGAGGTGATTGTTGTTTATCGCATATTGAGTTTCTTTTTGGTTGGTCTAGGTCAGATTGGTGCAACCGTGCGCTGAGTAGGATCGGATCTGATGGAGTCAAATGAGACTTGTTTCCAACCCTGTGATTAATGCAATGGGTTTGTTCATTGTAGAAAGAAATTGATACCATAGAGGTCGTGCCCTACATTTAAATTTTAATGAAAATGAATGATGTAGGAAACAAAGTGGACTGATTTGTTTGTCTGTGGACTTCAGGCAAACAGCAACATGATCCATTACATCTGAATAAGTAAATAGAAATCGGAAGCAGAAGGTCTGAGAGACAAAACATGCTTTTTTATATATATCAGGGTTGCCAACCGTCCAGTATTTAGTGGAAAAGGAACGCACTTTGTCCCGTATTACTGTGAGAAAAAAGAAATTGTAAAGAGCAAGTGGAAAATAAAAAACAAGGGCACATTAGATACAAAACTTGCGGTAAACTTGTTCCCGGGCCCTGTCCTGCGTTGTGCCCAATGAGCTGACAACATATATGTAACAATCCAGAATCTCCTCATCGCAGTGGTCGAGCAAAGTGTTGCTCACTGAGACGATTACAGAAGATAACAGCACAGTATGGGGGACGAACGGAGTAATTTAAATGCTGCCGCTACTTTACTCAGCTTTACTCTGCAGAACTCAAGACAAACAAAACCTCACTGCTGCAAGAGCTCAGAGGAAATACATGTGGAAAAAGTGGGCTATCGCCACATAATGGGGAATTGAACTAAGGATTTTCTGTTTTCTATTTTACAACTGTAGCCTACAGTCATCGCCTTTAAGGCACAAATATGTTTACAAGTTTGCTGTTGCACCAAAAATGTGCACTATTTATTTGTTATTTCATATTCATTTTTACACTTTGAAGTTAAGCAGGACAGGCTGATATTTGAAATACTCAAGATATATATATATATATATATATATATATATTTTTTTTTTTTTTTTTTTTTTTTTTATTAATTTATTTATTGTTATTCTAATCCGCTTTTTTTATCATAGGACAATCTGATAACGTTTAGGTAAAAATAGTGTAGCTGGCCCTTTAACTTGTGTCGATTATTAGGTGGGAGGGATCGAGTTTCTTTTCTAACCAATAGGACACCGGCTTCCGCCCAGTCTGGTTTTGTGATTGGACATCAGCGATGTCACACACGTATGACGTCGCAGGGACCCTTTGAGGGGAAAAAATAGCTTCTATTTTAACCAAGCCGCCTCCCAGACTTTCTGCCAAACTCATTCTGCTTGTCTCAGAGGGACACTGACTAACTTAGGAGCTGTGATGTGACTGTGGCTTTAACATCGGCCAGGAAGCAGGAAATGTTCTCTAGGAGGGGGAAGGACCAAGAGGAACGGCAGACCCCTAAGTACACCTGTGTATGTCCTCTGTGCTCTTGGCCTCTTGCGGCATTATACATTTCTTTATGGGCAGTTGTTGTCGTTAGCAGGCTAGGCGGCTAACGTGCTAGCCGATTAGCTGTTGAGTTTTGAGTCGGGTTCAAAGGAGAGGTTTACCGACACTGACTCCTCTGTTTAGTTTAGTTTTGAAGCTGTTTCTGTGAGCTAGAAAAGTTCCCAAAGCTGACTGTACCTCTGGAGAAACACTCATTTATTTATCAGCACACGTTAACCCTCTGTTTAACGAGTTTGGGCTCAACTCAGTTGTTTGTCAGACCAAAATGTTAGATTTCTATGCTTTTTATTAATCATATTTTATATACACTTTACTAAAAAAAAACAGGTCGACTGCAAGCAAAGTTATAATGTTATAGATTTAACCTGCTGATTTTAGCAGGTCTGAATTTCTACCAAAAAGTTGCAACCTGTCAAATATTAGCAGAGTACCTTTTATTAAAAATTGGGACTGTGTGACAAAAAAATAGGACTTTCCTATCATTGAAATACAGATGATACTTAAAGGAAGTAAATCTCTCATCAAATTTCATTCAGTTTTTGCATTTTTCTACCTTTCTCAGAAGAATGAACACTATATGCTGTTTTGCCTTTAACAGACCAAACTTTTTTGCTTTAGATTTTGACAGATGACTGTTGGTGATTTTTTTTTTTCCTGATTCCAGTGATGACAGGAACCTAAGAATTATAGAAAATCTGAAGTAAACATACCTGTACAATTTTTTGAAGCCTGAGATTTTTGTTGCAGGTGTATGGTCTGGAAATTTAAAAACTTTTTTAAATTGCAAACTTGAAATATCAATAAAAAAAGGTAAATCCCTTTATTGTCCCTTAATGGGGAAATTCACTCTCTGCATTTAACCCATCCCCTTGGGAAGCGGTGGGCTGCCGTTGTGCGGCACTAGAGGAGCGTGTGGGGTTAAGGGTCTTGCTCAGGGACCCAGAGTGGAGGCTATGGGGATTTATCTGGATACTTCTAACCTTCTCAGAGCACACGCACTCTGCTCTAACCACTAGAACAACACTCCCCCATTAACACATTAACTAGCACAATTGTTCCTCATAAAAGCTGAGCATAGAGCTGCAGCGGACAGAATGTGCCTTTAGATGAACCTGCGTCCTGCTTTAGCATGTTGTCAGAAGCTATTATGATCTAATATTTCTTTATTGAGCCCTAGTAAATCTTTATTTTGATTTCCTTTGTGTATTTACGGGGGATGATTTTGATTGTTTACATCATGTCTAGTTTGTCAGGTGTCCTCCAAACATTTGCTTATAGTCGATACACCAGCAACACTGGAAAATCTAAATCTAGATAAGTGATTTTTTTCTTAAAATAAGTGCATTTGTTCTTGGATTGAGGAGGTAAAAGAGACATCTTGCTAATGGAACAAGACAATTTAAACTTAAAATAACAAAAACACAATTGCATTGTCTTATTTCAAGTGCATATTATCTAATAAGTAAAAATACTCATTCCATTGGCAAACTATCTCAGTAACCTACTCAAATTAACGGTAAATACACTTAATTTAAGACATTTTTTACTTATTTCTGGATCGTTTTTCCAGTGAAGAAGCTCTCCATGGAGTAAAGCGCAGCATGTGGTGTTTTGTTGTTGGATTGTAGCCATTTTCAATATCCCAGTCTGAATAACTTTGAGTCGTTGCTGACGAACAGCTCTAGCGGGAGCATCACTAAGACCTCAGCATCTGTGTTAATAAGAGGAGTCCTCATACTTTATTCATGTTTTTTTGTTGTTATAAAGCTCATTATTTTGGGAAGTATAATTCGTTACACAAACATGCAAAACAACAAAGTGCTCTAAAACAGGCCTTGTTCTTCCTCCTTTTCTCTAAACTCAGAGATCTTAGCTGTTGGGAGAAGCGAAAAACCACGCTTCACTACTACTGCTAGTTAACCCTTTCAGAACTCATCTTTTCTTCCCCTCATGGCCAGCGTATGAAAGCGGTCAAGTTTTATTTTGCACTTGTCCCTGTGTTTGTGCTGCCAGGTAGTGTCTCTGACGGAGTACCACCGTCGGATCGATGCGCTAAACAGCGAAGATCTGCGCTCGCTCTGCAAACGACTCCAGGTGCCCCGTTTCACCGTCTGTCTGCACTGCTTCTGCCCGCACCGTCTCCTCTAGGCTCCCTGCGTCCGCTGCTGTTGCAAACAGACCCTAAGAAACAGCAATGCTAATAGTAAACAGAATCGGAGGAAAAGTTTCAGCTCTTTCTAATCAGTTAAAGTTGCAAAACCAAAAAAAAAAAAGTTTATCATTCTGCTACAGAAACGTTGGTCTGTGAGGTTTTCACGTGACGTCAGTCTTATCTGTGTGTGTCAGGCCTTCCCTCTGTTTTACACACACAGCTTTAAAGTCTGTCGATTGAATTATTTATAAGTTAGCAATAATTTGCAGCTACATATGCAGATTGTATTTAAGACACATTAAGGTGGGTTGCTTGGTAAATAGTGGATTTTAGAATGCAAAAAAACTGACTAGGAGACAGAGGGAGCCTGTTGCAATGATGAGAGGGCGGAGTGAGACTCCCCTTACAAGATGAATGATCTGTGGGACAATGCAGGACGGCATTATTTGAATTAGGACTGAAACTGGAGAGGCCTCTGGCCGCTGGTGGCAAAGCGCTCCACAGTCGACCTCTGTTATCCAGAAAGATAAATAACCTCAAATGGTAAAAAAAAAAAAAAAAAGGAGTCACATTGAAGAGAAATTATACATAGGGTTCATTTCCTATTCACTTTCTACATTCCTGTTTCCCAGACAGCATCTCTGTCTGTGCTGCCTAACCAGTCCTGATCTTCCGGCTTTGGAAACAGACAGGCACACATGCAGCTGTCTTTATCAGATTGTTGGGTTTTTACTTAACATCCTATCTATAATTTAGTAGTTTAAAAGCATGGACAGTTTTATTGGAGCTTTTTGTTGAAATAACCTCATCTTCTACTGCTTTTATTAATTGATATCCTGCTGTAGCTTATAGAGTTATATTCAGCCTGGCTAGCTGCGCTAGTTACACCTGTTATCTGCTATAAAGGTAAACCAGGAGAACAGCTGAACCCAGTCAGTGTCTGTGCTCTCTGCTCCATGGTGTGGTTCGCTAACCATAATTTGCGCTTGTAGATTACCACCAAGGAAGAGACCAACTCGAAGCACGGCACATCCATCAAAGCTGAGCTGGAGCCTGAAACCTTCAAACCCAACCTCAAAGAACCCAGCGAGCTCCTGGAGGCCGACCAGATAGAGAAGGTAGGTCAGCGTTTCTTGCATGTCACGTGTGAGACAGAAGCTACCAAGCTAATGCCGTGAGGCTAAAGGTTTATATGTGCAACTTTATAAACATCTCATTTTAACAAAATGACTCATTCAGCGTTTCACAGAGAAGATATGGAGGAAATTCTGTTCCTTTATTACAAGCAAACATGTTTGGTTAATGAAACTTTTAGAAACTTCTTGACTTAAAAAAGGGTTTGATACTAACTTTGATTTGTATTTATTTTAATCTCTTTTACATTTGATTTCTTGCAGTTTATTTATATAGCGCCAATTCACAGCACACGTCATCTCAAGGCACTTTACAGTTCACCAGATCGTACATCGTCATTTTGATTCAATGTTTTCTATCTAAGGAAAACCAGTTAATTGCATCGACTCATTGACTGGAATGCAATCCCTCCCCATAAGCATGCTTGTAGCGACAGTGGAGAGGAAAAACTCCCTTTGAACAGGAAGAAACTTCCAGCAGAACCAGGCTCAGTGTTAGCGGCCGTCTGCAGAGGCCGACTGGGGTTCAAGGAGACAGAAGCAGAGATACAAAAAGCGACTGTAAAAAGCGACCCCGTCCAGGAAACACACAGCCAGGCAGACGAGCCTGGAAAGGAAATCCCGGGAAAGAGGGAAAGGGAATGTATCTGTGAAGTGAAATATGAAAAGAATCCAATTCATAAAAATCAATCTGAGAAACAGGAAATCTGATTCAACAAATTGAAAATATAAAATTTGTTTAAAAAGGAAAAGATTGAAATAAAGTTAAAACGTTAAGTCTAATAAAACAATTAAGGAAAATAAAAGTTGATTAAATTAATTCAGATATCCAGAAAATCGTAAAAAATAAATGTTAAAAACCTTTTTGGATTCAAATCTTTAGCAAAGTTTCATTTCCAGAACACTTTTTTTTTTTTCAAATTTTCCATTTACAAAATGTGTTCCCTGCTCAGGAACATTATTGAACAAAATTCTCTTCATATATTTTGGTTGTTCCTGAACAAAAACAAACAAGCTTCCATTATAGAGTGTAGCAAATGAAAGCAGGTGGTTTGTGTGAGAGGTACGACTTCTGGGAGTAGAAGCAGCCTCTGCTGTGACAGCCGTGCGTCTGTCTACCCATGCAGCTGTTGTTAGGGAGCTGAATCACGTCCTACGCAGCGTTTCCTCACACAGAAGGAGCTGAGTAATTACCTGATGCGTCACGAAAGGCAACTGCATAAGCCGTTAGGTTTTTTGGATGGTAAATAATTAGTAATAAGATGAGTTTTATGATCCGTTTTACATTTCTGTGCTCATAAAACAAACGATTTACCGATAAAACTCAGAATCTGTGACGTAAATCGGTTTGATGTTAGAGGTTGTGTTGAGGATTTTCACATTTAGTCGCTGCTTTTCAACGTTCCTGCCTTGGGCGGCTTTATCTCGCCGTCCCCACGGCGTCTGCAGCCCGGCCTGCGGGCTCTGGCCTGGGACCGCTCTTTCTCTAGTGTCTGATCTGGATGTTTGGAGCCCCTGTTAGTCTCCTTTAAACACCAAATGGTGTGAAATGTCACTGCACATGTAATTGAGCGTCCGCTGCTGTGGCCTTTTGCTTCGGATGTATTTTTTTTCTTCTCTCCCTTTGATTCCTTTCTCTCTCTCTGTCCAGCTTGCCAGGAATCTTCCACCGCGGACCATTGGTTACCCCTGGACGCTGGCGTTTGGCACATCAAAGCATGGCATGAGCATTAAGACGCTCTACAGGGCCATGCAAGGCCAGGACACCCCGGTCCTTCTGGTCATCAAGGACAGCGACGGCCAGGTGAGCCAGAGCCCAATCAGAGAGGCGGAGCCTCATCCGTTCCTGCCTCTGCTTAGCTTTCTCTGCTTGTTTCCTCAGGTATTTGGTGCCCTCGCATCTGAACCCTTTAAAGTCAGCGAAGGCTTTTATGGCACAGGGGAGACCTTCCTGTTTACCTTCAATCCAGATTTTCAGGTACGACACCTGTTCTGTCATTTCAGGATTTCAAACCTTATTTCTAATCAGAGTTTCCCCTCTGATTAGAAATAAGGTTTGGGCACTTTAGGGTGATTCTCCAACCACAGTCAAGCATATATTTTAGAAATATTTTGATTTGCTCTGCTTCATCAAAATGTGCAGGAACATTGATGGTGGTTGTCATAAAGTTACATCATTTCAATTCGATTCAGTTTATTTATATAGTGCCAATTCACAACACAAGTCATCTCAAGGCACTTTACAGTTCATAAATATATATAAAAATATGATATATAGTGTAAATAGGATATATAGTGATATATAGTATTGTTGTGAAAATGGCCGTTTCTCAATATGTGAACCTGTGCGTTCTCATGTCCTCGTGAAACGTTATCAGCCTCAGCCATAGTACTGTTCCAGTTTATGACAGCAAACCGAGAACGGACAAAGTCCCCGGATGTTGTTGTCACCCCTCCCTCTTTACCCAGCATGCATCAGAGCAGACTTGTCTGTTCTTGAGATTGACAGCTGTCCCAGCATGCACTGGGGCAGCAGCTTCCAATGGAGCGCTCACAGAGCTCAGAGTATTAAGTTAAATGTTCTCTTTTCTGTTGCTGTTGTTCAATATAAGTACATTTTAAGATAATTTGAGGCGAGAATATTATACTTTTAAACATCACTATATGGTCTATTTACTGATTTAATGCGTAGTTTAAAGAAGAATTCCGAAGATGAGAGGATCGCGGCAACCAGCAAACCTCTCGAGGTAACAGCAGCCAGGTCTAACATTAGCCCGTCTGCAGCAGCCCTCTCTCTGCATAGCTGTGTGTGAAGAACCGCTGGCTGTGATGGCGAGTTGTTTTTGGCAAAATGTTTTTGATTTGTTTATTATCTGACTGTGTTCATTATTATTCCCCCACTAAATGAAAAAAGTCTGAATTTATTATCATGAAGAGACTATTAATAACAGGTACTTAAATGCAGCTCCAGACGAGCCGAGCGTGTGGTGATGTCATCAGTACGCTTCTGTTCCAATAGATCCATATTTATGCTGCACGCTCCCATTCTCCCAGAGTCCAGACTTTCCTGTGTTCTTCTCATGAACATACTTGACAAGGACATGAGTCCGTACTCGCGTTCTGGTGAATTGAGAAACGGTCAATGTTTCGTATTTCTTTTAAAATCTCATAAAATTTTAGCACGCTAATCTCTATTTTAGAGTTAGCATAAAATATACTGAAAAAATGCCATATAAAATGGTCTCTTTCTGATTATTTAAGTCCATTCAAAGGAAAAATGAGGTGATTGGAAATGAACCTCTTTGATTTTCCGCTTGTTTCCCTTCCTTCCTTTCAGCTATCGCTGCTTTCCTGCCATCAGCTCTGCTGCCACATGGTGACAGCTGGTGTGGCTGCAAGTCGGAAAGAAAAAGTTAGATTTAACACAGGGGCAGGGATTCTTTTTATTGAAAAGAAATAAAATGCATGTGTATATATTTCAAGCACATCACACTTTAAGTAACGTCAAAGTTCCTGTGCAATCAAATTTAAATTCAGTCTTATAAGGCACAGATAGTGTAAAACCTGGTTAAAGAACATATAAAGAAAAAGACTCAATGTAAAACCACATTTTATACACTATAGATAGTGATTTATCAGGATTTAATTTTTTTTATAAAAAAAAAATATCAAATAGTTTTTTTTCATTTCTGCCTGGGATATAAATTCTTTGATGGTCGGGGAATCGGCCTGTAAATAAGTCATTTCCATTGAGAGATCGCTGCTGTGCTGTTCTGCTGCTGAAACGCCACTGAATGCCTGTTCTCTACAGGTGTACAAATGGACGGGCGACAACATGTTTTTCATCAAAGGAGACATGGACTCCTTGGCTTTCGGTGGAGGAAGGTAAGCCTGGAAACCAGCTGATCAGATCAATCCCTTATTGGAGAAATCTGTCCGATTTCTTAAAGTACAGTAGCAGCCATTCAAAATGGCCCTTCCCAGTCAAACTCCAGCCAAATGGCGGCCCACTTCCCTGCCACTCCCAGCAATATCCCCTCGAAATTCCAGCCACTGGCCTTCTCCTGGGTGCATAATTTTTATTCTGACTCCACCCTTACATTGAATTACAGGGTCTGACCAGGAGATGATGCTTCTCTTTAGATCTTTATGTCCACAAATCATAATAAAATATTTCAGCACAGATATTGATGTTTAAAAAAGGAATCTCAGGGGACCAGCCAAGGACCCATCAAGGAAAAGGGGAAATTTTGAATGGCTACTATTGTAGCGCAACAGGAGACCTCCCTCCCTGCTTTTATTTTGAAAAGCTCTTCCAAGAACCCAACTATGGTTCTAAAATGGTCAAACTCAGAGGTCAGAGGGTTTTAATCGGAGGCTGCAGGGTTGCACGGTTCTTCACGCTGTGATCCGTTCTGAGATTGAATCCTGATCATTTCTCCTGAATGTCAGGGAAACAGGACTCTCTGAGATCCGGTTTAGGTTTAATTGAGTGTGAACATATGAGTCTGTTATAAAGTCAGTGACCTTTAAGTCCATAAAACCCCCTGAACATTAGATTGATCAAAGCTTAGCTAACCAGAGGGCGCTAGCTTCAAGCTCTGTCCAACGTCTCTGTGTGTGTCTCTTCCAGCGGCGAGTTCGGCCTGTGGCTGGACGGAGACCTGTACCACGGCCGGAGCCACTCCTGTAAAACATTCGGGAACCCCATGCTCTCAAAGAAAGAGGATTTCTTTGTGCAGGACATAGAGGTGTGGGCTTTTGAATAACAGACTGATGCTCCACAGGGAAAATAAAAAAAAGAAAGAAAGAAAGAGACGTCCTCCAAAGGACGAACCGAGGAGTGGACCTCCTTCAGAACAATGGCAACATCCCAAACCTGACTGCACATCACCAGGCCTCCCCTGTCTGGAAGCCAGCTACCGGATGCTTGTTGTGCGTTTCTACTGCAGTTATTAAGGAGCTTTATTTTGTTTTTCTTTTCTCTGTGTGTATCTGATTACAGCCTTGTGGATCGTCTTTGCAGCAGATTAGGGAGAGAAAAAGAAAAGGTGGTATCTTAGAGGCAGGGTGGGGGCAAACTGGACGTCCTCCATGAAGATGATGGCGGCTGAGGTTTGGGATTGCTGCAACAGTGGATCAGAACCTCCAGGAAGCCCAACCACCTCCTTCTTGGATCCGGTTCTTTCCGTAGAGAGACCCAGGTTAGAGGGAGAGACAGGAAGCAGGAGCTGAACCCATTCCTTACAGGATCTGACATCATCATACCCCAGAGAGTATCTGAGTAGAATATCTGAGGTGTGTGTGTTCTAAGGGAGGGTGGTCCGTCTTTTTCCAGTCCAGTTTTTCGGGTCCCCCCCCCACCAGGCTTAACTTACTGAGTATTGTGTATCGTAGTCCTCCTGTCGTTCATCATAGCACACCATCGGAAAAGCACACAGCTATAACCAGATCATCCATCGTCGTAAAGCGTTGCGTTTCAGTGGGCGTGTCCGTGTGTGAGTCCAGCGAAGCGCCAGCTCCTCCCCGGCTGGACGCTGGCTGTACTGTTCGTAGACAGTAACGTGTTGCAATAGATTTGTGGAATATGCAAATAAACTGTCCTGTGACCTCAAATAACCCGGCAGGTCGCGGCTCTTTGGCCGTCGCTTGTGGCTCTTTGGAGAGAGAAACGTGTAAAGCTTTTACGTCTCGACAAACATAATTGCTTCTCCGGGTTTCATTTGAAGGCCTGAGATGTGGTTACCTGTTTTACATGCATATATGACAATTATATATTGTATATATGATTATATAAGTGTATATAATCATATATATTTTGCTGTTGAGTGTGACAGTGATATATTTGTGCTGATATTTCAGCTGTTACTATATATTGTATATTACCCTGTAAATTAATGTTAAAATAGTAGATTTGTTGCAATATATATATATATATATATAAATACATAATACTTTATATATAGATATCTATATGTAGATATCTATATATATCTATATATATATATGAGAAAAGTGTGAATTAATTGGTTGCTTCTAGCACTTTAACCTGGTTTAGGGCCTGGTTCTTAGATAATCTTAGAAGTAGCTGTACAGTATATATTTTATTTTCTTCTGTGAATAATTCCTGTTAACTGTTACTAGAAAGCTTGCTGCTATCAACAGTAATCTGCCCAGATGTTCAGTGGGAAACAGAGGATTACTCTGAGGATGTACGGGGGGGGTGATGACGTCCAAGACAGCCGCAGGTCTCGGTTTATCTCCACACACGGTGAGTGGGAGCCGTTTGTGACGTGGGGACATGGCACCACCCCTCCTCCTACCCTCCCCCCCCACCCATGGAGGTTTTTTGTTTTTTTTCCCCTCCCTTTGTATTTTTCGGGCTTCCACACCAGTATTTATGTCCATGTGGGGAAGTCGCAGCAAGTAAATATGGTTACTTCTTTAATTTCACCTGAGCATTGTATCAGTGATGTACAAATACTAATAAAGCTGAAGTAATTGTTGTAACCAGAGAGATCTCTGTGGGTCTGGTTCTTCTTACTGCTTTAGGACGTCAGTGATCTGTTGTGTTTTTTGTTTTTTTCATTCTGGGTCATAAAACAGGCTGAAATCAGAAGCCGACGGACTTTTCACGAGGTTGTCTTTATTTTTTTAGAAAAAAAATGTTTGCCTTCGTTTTTTTTTGTTTTTTTTTGTTTCCTTTGGTTAATATTCATAAAATATAATTTATTATCAATAAGGTTGTATGTTTTGCATCTAAGCATGTTTTTTCTAGATTTCTAACGGTTGCAGCCCATTTAAAGCTGAAGTCTGTAAGTTTTTAAAAATCACTTTTTTGTCATATTGGCTAAAACTTTCCCTATGCCCAGACAGCAGTACATGTGATATGTAACCTGTGAAAAAAAAACTGCTTCAATTGGTCCCGCATACTGCCTGTATTTCAATCTGGAAAGAATAATTCGGGACGAGTCAAAACAACCAATCACAGCCAGAGGAGCGTCTGATGGAGTGTCAATCACAGCTCACACACGCTGAATCCCGCCCCCTCCCTCTCACCGCTAAACCTGCCGCTGCCGCCCGGCTGCTGCAGTCAGCAGGACGTGCGTGGAAGTCATGGCGGAGCGACAGCCACCAGCGAAAGAGAAACTGCCCTTACTGCCCCTGCCGACAACTGCTTACACGGCAAACTTCGGTATAACCAGCATCTTATATCTAGCTGCTTGGAGGTGAGTGTTATCGCTCTTACCGGTTCACACTCCATGCCGCGTACGCTGCTTGGACGCTTCTGGTCGCATGGGGTAGCCGTGCAGATGCTGTGAGAGGGGTGGAGCTTGGAGGTGGGCCATGAGTGATGCAGAGAGGGTGGGGGAGTGGCGTGAAACCTGTTTTTCTTCAAATTTTCAGTCGAAGTCTGCTCTCTTCTCAATGTTACAGACTGCTGCTTTAAAGCAGAGTTGTGTTACATAATATTTTCCCATATTCCAACATCTAATAAAGCATCTGTGTGGGCGGGGGATCTAACCTATTAAGGCCTGCAGATAACTAACTGGTAACTCTGGAGGAGCTGCAGAGATTTGCAGCTCAGCTAAGCTTACTATTAATGTTGTCTAAATCTATCCTTTCAGGGAGAAAGCCACAGGAAGCCGCATGTTTGTTCAGTCCAGACCAAAGTTTAGCATATTGTGAGAAAAAGGCAAAGCTGTGCATCACTTTAACAACTGTTTTCCTTGGTTAAACATGTTGGTGGCAGTATTATGCTGTGGGTTTTATCTGTTTTCTTCAGCAGAGATCAAAAGCTGGTCAGAATCCAGGATTCTATTTAAGAAACTGGCTCAGCATTAGACGCTGAAGCGTGATGCGTTATGAAATCTGCAGATGTGCGTCTGTAGCTGTGAAACCGGTGGAGACGAGACCTAAAAGACTCGGATTACAGGCTGGACACAGACGCATCCACACAGCTCCTTCCCTTTGACCACCATCTGCTGGCCTGTGTTGGTCTAGAAGTGAACTCTGGTTTTATTTAAACAGAAAGTGGTTTCAATGGGAACTAAAGGCGCCTACACGGAGCATAAAGTCTCACTGATTCTTCACCAGCTGGACCTGATCGTCTGCTGACACGGAGATCCTTTTATTTTGCTGATTCAATCGAAAGGCTTGAAGTGATTTCTTATGGGTAAAATAACTGCTCTTAGCCATCGCATCTTGGTTGTAATTTAGGATTATAAATCTATTAGTGGCTATTTCAGGGGGGGGTTTACCATTAGGCAATACTAAGTAGTTGCCTTGGCCCCCAAGTTTCTGGGGGCCCCATAAAACGCTTTACATGTATGGTTAATACAGCTATTATTTATTTATACACATTATGTTTTTGATATAAATCCATTCGTTAAAACACCATC